GCTTAACCGAAATGGGGAATATTTTTCAGATCCCCAAAAAATAGTTGACAATTTTAACCTTCATTTTTCTGAAGCTGGTACCCTATTTGATAATGTATTGGGAGTCACCCCTGCTCATGCAAATTCCTACACTCCTGTCCAAACATTAAGCGAATTTAGTTTTCAGCCAATCCACGAAAGTAATGTTCTGAAACAACTGTCCTACCTCAAAGGGTCCTCCTCTACCGGAGCAGATAGTATTCCCGTCTTTGCTCTACTAACTGTTGGTCACCTAATATACAAACCTATAGCCCATATTTTCAACCTGTCCATCAAAGAAGCATCAGTTCCTCTAGAATGGAAACATTCCTATGTTCGTCCACTTCACAAAGGGGGCCCTAAAGATGATCCAAATAACTACCGACCTATCTCAATTTTGTCCCCGTTGATGAAAATTTTTGAAAAATTATTGACCTACCAAATTAGCAGTTTCCTGTCCGCCAACAATCTATTACATCTAAAACAATCTGGGTTCCGAAAAAAATACAGCACCACATCTGCTGCATTAGACTCTCTGAATCACATTTACAGTAGCCTTGATAATAAGCAGTACTGCACCTGTCTTTTTCTTGACTTGTCCAAAGCTTTTGATACAGTAGACCACAACATCCTGCTTAGTAAAATAAGTTGCCTCGGTTTTTCCGAAAACACAGTAAAATGGTTAAAAAATTACCTCTTTTCTCGCACCCAAACTGTATTCACAGATGGTTGGAGGTCAAACAGTGTTAAGATAACAAAAGGGGTTCCACAGGGTTCCATTCTCGGCCCCCTCTTGTTTTCTCTTTATGTAAATGACTTGGGCACTGAACTGGATTATTCCAGGGTAAATCTTTTTGCAGATGACACGGTACTAATTACTGCTGGCCGCTCTCCGGATGACGTGATTGCTAAGCTCCAGAGTGATTTCAACAAACTACAACATCAGCTAGTTGCTCTTAAACTAGTCCTAAATCCTGCCAAAACCAAGGTGCTATGCTTCTCACCAGGACTAAAGCGGGAAGTTATTTTTCCCCAATTACATACCTTAAATAATGATCAAATAGAGCAAGTCAAGATCTATAAGTATCTTGGGGTCATCCTGGATTCAAAACTGAATTTTGAAGATCACATTGATTATATTGGGAAAAAGACAAAAATTAAAATTGGTTTTCTATATCGACACAAGCACTGCTTCCCTCCTATGTTCCGTTTGGAATTGATTAAAGCTACCGTACTGCCTCTACTTGATTACTGTGACATTGTGTATAAATCAGCCCCAAGTACTGTACTTAAGAAGCTTGACTCAATGTATCACTCGGCCTTAAGATTTGCATTGAACTGCCCATATAGGACTCACCACTGTGATTTCTACATTGGGTCAAACTTAACATCTCTGAATGTTCGACGGCTTGTGCACCAGATCTTATTTATTCATGATGTACTTGCAAAAAAATCTGCAGATTACCTGCTGGATCTCGTCTCTGTTTCAAAGAACAAATTTGACCTAAGGTCTACACTCATTTACCAGCTTAATATTCCCTATTGCCGTACATATACTGGAGGAAGGGCCTTTGCTATTGATGCCCCCAGGGTCTGGAATGCTGTTGCAAATAAATTGAAACTTGAGTCACTACCTATGAGATCTTCACTCAAAACTGCTTTAGAGGAGTTGTACACCCCTAGCTGCCAGTGCTATTCAGTGACCTAAAATAAAATGTTTCGCTCCGGATGATCGCTACAAAGTATGACCTGTGTTTTGATTTAGTGTGCTGATCTTAAAGGTGCATTGAAAAATTACAATACTCCGATTGATGCTCCTGCTGTTGTGGAGTGACTCATGCAGCCAGCTATGGCTGCAGGGTTTTGGTAGTACATGTTGTTTATGCCATTTATTGTGAAAATTCCGTCAGTTCCTATGATTGCTTTTTCATTGCCTTCATGGCTTTATTTTGGTGATTTCGAAAAGTGTATTGGTTTAGCCATGTTTGTGTTGTTGTAGTACAGAGTTAGACTGATGGCCTTAATCTAAGTTGTCTTGTGGTTGTTGTTGTTGTTTGACTTGCATCCCACTGGGATTTTTGCACACAGCGTTGGTGTACGGTGTTTTTTCTGCAATATTTTTGCTGTCTTTTCTTGGATTTTCTGTTTGCACTTAGTCACATATTCACTTTAAGATGTTTTTTTGTTCATGTTTTTGTTTTTTGTTTGTTGCGGTTGCACCCGATTCAAGAGCTGAATGGCTCACAGGGCTATACCTAATAAATGAACTTGAACTTGAACTTGAACTTGAATGGAAGAGTGATCGGACGGTGGATAGCAGACAGCAGAGACAAAGAGAGAACACAGAGACACGCCCTGAGGAGCGCAGGCGTGAGCCTTTGAATGGAAAATATCCAAGGGAAACCAAAAATTATGTGGATCGGAGTGCTAAAATGGAGACGAATGTCCATGACGTATCGGGAATGGTGTTGAAATCCAACACACTCGTAAAAACAAAGAGGGCAACATTACGAAGGACAGAATTAAATCGACACACTGACTCGGCAAATGTGCATGTAATCGCAGAGAGAGCGAATGCCACGAACCAAGTGTCAAAGTGGGTCGTGTGCGCGAATTCTGGTTACGTGCAGCACAATTTTTCACCACACACTCCCACGACGCGAGAGAGTGAGAGAGGAAACTACAAAAACGAACCCGAAAACCGTGATCAAATTATCAAAGTGATAAGTGGTAAACCAGGCAACATGAGGAAGGTAACGCATAAATGCGTTCGAAACCGCTACCTAGCGTTTCCCAGGATTTAACAAAAACAAAAATGAATGTTCGTCAGAGTTATGATGTATGAGAACCGATGTAACGCAATATCGATGTTAACGTGTGTTATTTTCTTTGCTTAATTCAAATGTAACCAGGATTTAACAAAAACAAAAATGAATGTTCGTCAGAGTTATGATGTATGAGAACCGATGTAACGCAATATCGATGTTAACGTGTTGTTATTTTCTTTGCTTATTTCAGATGTAACCAGGTTAAGATCGTAATACGTGCACGCGCGTCGTAAGAAATAACCGCCGAGAGTAAGGGCGGCTGATGGGATGCATGACATAAAAAGGGGGCATTACTTTGTTTGAAAATTCGCCAGTGGCCAAATCGACCCCTGATAATTTTCAAAAGGGCGGACTGTTGTGTATGTACCCCCTTTTTATTTTTTTTAATATTATTTTTTTTTTTAAGAATTATTCTGCCAACATAGATAATATCGTTTTTTTAATAGACGCGGCCACGTGGGAACGAACACGCCCCCACACTTCCACAGAGGCCCCCACACTTCCACAGATGCGCGCATACCTCATATCAAAGGAGAGAGGACATGAAAGGGGGGGCAATAAGGTAATAAAAAAAAAAAACTCCCCTAAATTCACACAAGAGGAACAAGGGAGGGGGGGAATTGCAGGCGGGGGGTTGCAGAACCAGGAGACACGGAGGAAGAGATAATTATATTCTTAACAAAGAAACAGCATCGACGACAAAAAGCACAGATGGGTCTTTGAACCATGTTAAATACACAAGTTACCAACTTAACCATAAAGATTAAGCAAACAGTATCCATCCTCACTCCAATTGAAAACCAGACGACAATCTGAACCAGAATCGCGACCCATCATTGTTAATAAATACTGACATTATTTACCTTTAAAGAATATCTACACGGCCGGGCCGAAGCATCAAAGAATAATTATGGCATCGATTTCGCTCCAAAACAAAATTCCTAGCCGGGATATCAGATTAAATAATCACAAGAAGTCAAATAATAAGTACGGAATTAAAGTAGAAGAGGAATCAAGGGCGGAGAAGGCTCTCAAAATTAACCAAACACAACAACCCATGGGAAGCGAGCAACACGGCCGCCTTTGTCTTTCCGAGAGGATCTCCACACGCAGGCACAAAGCTAGGAAATGACACCCATAAAGGGGGCAATGGCTCAAAGGAAATTAACACGTCTTCGAATAAATAAGCGCATGCGCCGGGTGCTCCCACCGTGGAAACAACCGCCTTTGTCTCCCCACAACACGGACAAACACGCACGCGAAACACACGGACGGACACACACACGGACGCAGATGGTCCACCCCCACAGGAAGGTTTTATGACACAGCTTTTGAACAACTCGGGAAGCCGAGTGGAATTTTCCGATATAAACCGAAGGAAAATCCATACAACTCAGATCGACAGGGGCTCTGGCCTCCATCACAGATCGACAGGGGCTCTGGCCTCCATCACAGATCGACAGGGGCTCTGGCCTCCATCACAGATCGACAGGGGCTCTGGCCTCCATCACAGATCGACAGGGGCTCTGGCCTCCATCACAGATCGACAGGGGCTCTGGCCTCCATCACAGATCGACAGGGGCTCTGGCCTCCATCACAGATCGACAGGGGCTCTGGCCCCCATCACAGAGTTCGTCAGGGGCTCTGGCCCCCATCACAGAGATATCATCCGGGCTACGAGCCCATCTTCGGCTCCACCACAGATCTTCACGAGCTCCGGCCTACATCTCATCTCGTCTCCGGGCTAAGGCCCCACCAGAGTTCTCCAGGGCGACAACCATCTCTCCTCGTCGCCGCCAACGAAGAAGCTCCTGTCATTCAGAATGACGAGGGTCGCGGAGTAGCGACGCGTAGCTACAAGCCGAGGTCTGCACCACCTGAGAAGAATCGCTACCCTGAGTCGCAGAGCTGCGAGTGAAGCCAACAAAGACGCCAACGTCCACCCTGCCACGAACGAAGCATCGCTCCTCGTCAGAGTGACGACCAGCGAACAACCCGCAGGAAAGGCGGAGATCGCTGAACGAGCGCCAACTTGCGCCACCTTGCGCCACCGTGCGCCACCGTGCACCACTTTGCGCTGAACGTGCGCCACCGTGCGCCACCGTGCGACACCGAGCGACAACGAGCAACACCCAGATCGACCAGCATCAACCCAAACCGACTCGTCATCCCGCCGTGGAGAAAAAGAGTCAAAGTCTTCTGAACGAGCGCCGCCGCTCACCTCACAGCGGAGAAAGTCTCAGCTGCCGCTCGCACAAACAACAGAGGTCGTATCGCTCCCCACATACAGACTCAAGAAACACAGAGAAAATCTTGTCAAACCAGTTTCCTTTGTCCCAGAATCTCGCCGAAGAGTTAATTAAAATAGAGCCAGATTCGCTCTCGCGCCCACACGCCCTCACCCACCATTGTATCAAACATTCCGTTAAAAAGGATTTTAGACTTGCCGATGAATCTATTGACATATACTTTCGCCTCTGGGATACAATAAGTGCTTTTTATTACCGCCATATGAAGTGTGTCATGCTTGTTTTCAAACTCGACCAGTCGCCGATTGTGATCAATACATGGGCGAACTAATGATGCCTGGTAGGAAAAGTAGAGGTTACAATTGATAGAAGTGTTTTTAGTCATTCAGTTCGTTAAATGCATAAGTGTTTATTCATTCATTTTAGTCAAATGCATAAGAGTTTGGTTATTCATATTAGTTAGTGCATAATATCGCAAATGCATAAGAATTTTAGTTATTCAATTTAGCTAAATACATAGTCTCGCAAATGCATAAGTGTTTATTCATTCATTTTAGTCAAATGCATAAGAGTTTCGTTATTCATATTGCATAATTGCATAATTTCACAAATGCATAAGTGTTTATTCATTCATTTTAGTCAAATGCATAAGAGTTTCGTTATTCATATTGCATAATTGCATAATTTCACAACTGCATAAGTTTTTGTCGTTCATATTAGTTAATTGCATAATCTTGCCCATGAATTATTGACGCATGTTTGACCTGCATGATAGAATGTCGCGTGCTTGTTAGAATAAAATTGTTATCACAGAAGCATATTGAGTGTTCTTTCCAAGTCCATGCAAAACCATCTTATTCATAAGAGCTGTATCCTGCGATGAGATATGAAAATGGAGACCTAAAATATTATAACACACACTAGGATAATCGGTAAATGAATCTATGATAATCGTGTTATCCTGATTGATAACTCTGGATAAACGAAACTAAGCAAATTATCATAACTGCACACATTAACATAATCGCAAGCCTCCGCATAAATTACTACGATTATCTCCGTGATTATCATAATTTATGCATATAATCACACGCATTATCATAATTCATGCGTATTAATACACACACTATCATAATTAATGCGATTTGCGCATTTTTCGGAAAATTATTAATTTTTATTATTTTCATCAAAATTTCATAATTCCGACACATACAACAGGGTGGAGTTGCTTCACGACTACCAACATCCCTTAGAGCAGTGATCTCACAATACACGTTATGCGATATTTTTTTTATTATAATTATTCTGTAGAAATGGTAATGTTTAGTGCATAAATTATCTGTGTTCCATTAAAAAGTCTTCAAAACTATTTCATTTCCATACTTTGTGATTCTTCGTTTTCCCCGCTTTTTCTTCGTTCCTCTGTTTTGGTATCGGTCCGGTATGAAAAAAAAATACAATTACATACAAACATATATACGTGACATATATACATATTACTTCGTGTCTCTTCCATCACAAGAACTGGGAATGTAGGGTCCGAGGGATGTACCTCGATATATGTTTGAGCTGCGTTCTTGAAAACTTCAACGCAAAGTGAAAGAGTGTATATCGAAACATAATATCCCATAATGTTTTATTTTAGAACATAAGATGCGTTTCTAAGAATATGTTCTTACCCTAAACCTACGAATGTGACGCTTTTCAACACAATTAAGCTATTTTATGTGCAACTGTGGAGAATAATAACTGGACAGGTCATTAAAAACAAATCCTGTGCATGGTAATTTACTAACTGTGGTGCACGTTGTGTGACTGGTGGTGAGGGAGTGGCAGTAGGTGAGGTGGTGAGTGGGAGGGGCAGTAGGTGAGGTGGTGAGGGTGAGTAGGATGGTGAGGGTGGGGCAGTAGGTGAGGTGGTGAGGGTGAGTAGGATGGTGAGGGAGGGGCAGTAGGTGAGGTGGTGAGTGGGAGGGTGAGGGAAGGGCAGAAAGTGAGGTGGTGAGTGGGAGGGTGAGGGAAGGGCAGTAGGTGAGTTGGTGAGGGTGAGTAAGATGGTGAGGGAGGGGCAGTAGGTGAGATGGTGAGGGTGAGTAGGATGGTGAGGGAGGGGCAGTAGGTGAGATGGTGAGGGTGAGTAGGATGGTGAGGGAGGGGCAGTAGGTGAGGTGGTGAGGGTTAGTGGGAGGGTGAGGGAGGGGTCGTATTAGCGTCTGCCCCTCACTCTCGGTGAGTATGTACAAGGCTTGTTTACAACAATCGGTGAGGCTGTGAATCGCAGTGTCTAGGCACACAACCATACCAAATGAACGCATGGGCAAACGACAATAACGTGTATTAACTTAGGTATTCACAATTTTTTTCCACTCAATGAAAAAAACGTAATAACGAAATAAAGGAGACATTAACAGAAAAGTGTTAATTGCCGGTGAACATCGTAACAAATGGTGGCATGTCGAATGAACGTATATTAGGGTACACTTGTACGTACATCAATGGAGCAGGGCTAAAAATCGGGAATTAATGCATTAAAATGTTTTTTTGAGTAAAAGCTCTCCCCCACTAAAGAGGGCGCAATACTTTACGTTATGAATTAAACAAAGGTAGTCCTACTTTTACAATCAACACATGAAATATCAAAATGAGGGGACATACTCAAGGAAAAGCTAAAAGGAAAAACATTGTCTTGCATTTTCCTGAACTGTTCGATGCTCAGAGCCAATCTGAGGCCGGTAGACGAGAGTTCCAGAGCTGAGGCGCCACACTCGAGAGGGCCCTGCTAACCGCCTCGTGTAGAATCAAACATTCTAGGTTGAGCTAGCAGGGCCTGGCCTGGGGAGCGCAGAGTACACCCACCAGACATCTCGAGGGCCAGACCGGACTGCAGGTACTGAGGACCAAGGCCGTTTTGAGCTTTGTAAGTCATTACAGCAAACTTAACAAGGCATGCGATAGCTGACCAGTAACCAGTGCAGATCACGAAGGATTGGTTTAACGTGCTCAAAACGGCTAACACGTCTCAGTATGCGGGTAGCCGCATTCTGTACCAGCTGCAGTTTCCGAGCCAGTCCACAATGGCAGCGCAGCATACAAAGCGTGTCAGTAATCCAGACGCATTGACACAAAGGCGTGAACCACTGTTTCAAGATCACTAGCTGATAAGAGTGATCCGGCAGCCCTCGGATCACTCTTAGGTGATAAAACCTCGCTTTGGCCACAGATGCAACCTCAGGGCGCATGGTCAAGCTACGATCAAACAGCACACCTCGGTTGTGCACCACTGTTACAGGGAGAGGGCGTACTCCATTAATTAATGAAGACTCAAGCTCCCCGTCTCATCCTCAGCCGACTCTGACCCTACAGTCTTGTCAGGATTCAGCCTTAAGCCATTTCTGCTGCATCCATGAAGCTACCTCTGCCAGACAGTCTGCTAAGCAGGCGAGAGCTGCGTCTGGGTCACTTGCGAAGGAGACATATCTGGGTGTGATCGGCATACTGATGGCACTGCAAGCCGTGCCTCCAGATTGAAGGGCCCATTGGTGCTGTGAGGAGTGAGTAAACACCACTGCACCACTCTCGTACCTAAGATTCAACGTGGTGACAGTGAATACTGTGGAGAAGTGGGTCAGAGGGTAGTGGGTTCACGTATCCGTTTGTGTGGACCCTTGGGTGTTATGACCACATTATTTGTTATTTATTTTTGTTTTTTTGTGGCTTACCTGGAGATACTAGCCAGTACCTTCCTAAAAAATAATCTGGGGGCTCAATGTCAAAATGTGTTATTATTGTAACAATTATACGTTTTATTTAAGTTTAGTTGTACATTGTTCTTATCTTGACTAAAGGTTCTTACCTGGAGCAAGGGTAACTGTTTCAGCCATTCTAAAGGAAGAAAAACACAATTTCAAACTTCCACTATGCAAGGCAGACTCAAATAGACGTTGTGATCGTTTGCTTCCATAAACGTTCAATATTACGATTCTACAGTCATTGTGCACTCTAATCACTGATGTGTGATAATAATTTCAACTTAAAACGTGCACAGTATTCGCTCACTCTGGTAGAGAGGACACCTCAGAGACGTGACGATGAGAAACCACAGATGAGACCTTTAACTCTCAAAGGTAATCTTTCTTCTGTGGGTCGCCCAAATTGCTTTATCGGTATCCATCGATTTACGAACGTTCGGCTTACGAAATTTCACAAATCTAATTTCCGCGTTCACTGCTGTGGCAGCAGTAACGCCTCCACAGGGCATCTCCAATCATTTCCACATGCAGCAAATCTTTCGGTGGGTTTCCCAGCAAGGTCAATCGTTTTTTGGGTTTCAATCAATGACTATTCACTCGTTTTAATATGGATGCACTTCATCGGTATTATGTTTGTACTGTGGAAAGCGATAGAGGTGTGTATGTTTAAGTTATGAGTAGAGTTGGAGTGACTGTCCGTAACAAATCCCTAATTTTTGGCATTCATGGGAAAAGCCAATCCGATTCACGAAATTTAGTTTGACACGAGTTTCTTTGAATAATGCATCCCTTTTGTAAATGGAGGGATCCCGTGTTCCAGAGCAAGGCCTCACTCTCGGGGTAGTCCACCAGGGGTGACCTTGACTGACACCTGTCATGACTGGGTGTCTGATTGAACTTTAGTTGTATGTATGTTGAACTTATTTCGCAACATACGTAGTCAACCGTGCTCATCGGTTGATTGCTTGCTTAAACTTAAGTTGAAACAAGATTTGACCACGACAAACATAGGAGTCAAGTTAAGTAAAATCGTTGAAAAAAGTGTTAAAACACTCACCTCTCCATTTCATGATCATTGCTTTGTTGTGTCTGTTTTTGGCATCTGTACCTGTTTAAAAGCAAGCATCAACATATATGAACACCAAGATAAGGGGACAGTGAATCCTTAATCTAAAGTTAGAAGGCTTGAATTGTTCTACTTGTGACTTCATGCAAAACCAGCTTGAATGTTTGTATTGGGATAAAGTCAAGTGGAAAATCAATAAATCAAACACTATTTAGTATAACGCCCTTCACAATAACATTTCCAAAGAGATTGACACATTAAAAACGTATACAACATTTAATCAATAAAACAATTACACAACGAAATAAAAGGGAAACTTAAAGAAAATATTATCAACCCACACCCCGAGCAAGTAAACATTCCTCTAAACCGGCCATGCAATAGTGATGTCAAACTAACAGACAGAACAACCCACAGGGAGTTTAACACGTAGGCTTTCGTGACCAATATCATCCATAAGAGGTTTTTTTGGGGTTTGATCGCGTAAATATATGAATGTGTCGTTAAGGCCCGACACCACCCGACACAGCGAACTAGTAAGGGTTGTCACGTAAACAGAACATGCTAATTCGTCACTAGTACAGTACACCGGTGTGTTGGAGCCCAGCCACAACATTTACAAACTGAGTACGACGTTTCGCCAGTAATTACAACTAGCTTCAGCAGGCGACAGCCAGATTTGTGGAGAAGTCTTACTGTTTCGTCTCATATAGAGGGGTAGATGTGGTGACCACGCAGCTGCGCTCTTGCACAATGTGGGGAGGGGGGATTACTGAGGCAACGTACATTATGCATGAGCATTATGCGAGCCTTTTGAACTTGTCCTTCCTGTCTATTGTGGTTATTAAAATAGCCCTACCAACGGTAATCCCTATTGAAGTACGCTGCCCTTTGTAGGAATGCATTTAAATTATGTATTATTTGATGATTCGCTTCCACGCAGCACTAAGGCGGTAGCTATCCGAACGGTTAACGTTATTTTGATTTATTTCAATTTCGATAAATTATCTAATTAGTCTTGGCCAGTAGTAGCAAGTTTTGCACAAAACTTCAACATTATCAAAATAAATTGAGTGTCCTTGTTGGCACGCGCGTTCTGCTACTGCTGACAGTTGTATTTGGGAGAATTTAATATTTATCTGATGTTCTTTTAGTCTCGTGCTGATCATTCGTCCTGTTTGTGCAACATAACATTTGCCACACGTGCAGTTAACCCTTTACACACCTTCTGTTGATAGCTTCGGTAATACATCTTTTGTACCAGATATACATTACTATATTTTATGTACCGTGCCAAATCTGACTCCGATGTTTTGTTTTTCCAAACATCTGGCTAGTTGATCAGTTACTCCCACAATGTACGGTATTTTTATCGTTTTAATTACTTGGGTAGTTTCAATGCTCTTGTTATTTTATTGTGTTTTGGTATTCAATGCCCTGTTGATTTGTGCATTAATTATAACCGTTCATTTGCAGCACTTCTTTAACATGTGGAATTTCACTTCTCAGACTGCCACCATCTGACACTTTCTTAGCTCGATGAATGAGCGTCTTGGTAAGATCAGATTTCTGTGCGGGGTGATGGTGTGACTGCATTCAGATAGACGTCAGTATGCGTTTTATTTCAGGTAAACACCGTGTGTTATTTTACCATTCCTACCCCGTCCAAGCAGAATATCCAGAAATGGTAGAGTTCTGTCAGCTTCACTTCCATGGTGAACTGGATGGATGGGTTTTGCGAGTTGAAATGATTTAGAAATCCGTTCAGTGTATCTTTGCCGTGTGGCCAGACCACCAATGTGTCATCCACATATATAAACCAAGCAAATGGTTTGTGTGCTTGAAGCTATTGCTTTTGTTTCAAAATCTTCCACGTACAAATTCGCTATCGCAGGAGACAACGGAGAGCCCATTGCTGCTCCTTCCTTTGGTTTATAGAAGTCACCTTTCCACAAGAAGTAAGTGTTCTTTAGACAGTGTTCAGCTAGTTTTGGGATATCTTTGGGTAAACCTTTGTTCGTTACCAATGTCGAGTAATTTAATCGACTCGTTGACCGGAACCCTCGTGAACAGAGGTCACATTAAAACTTACGAGAATATCATTAGGGTTAAGCTTAATATATTTAATTATATTTACGAGATGTTCAGAGTTTTTGATTAATGAAGAGGTCCTACTGATGTAGGGCTGTATTTATTTCGTTACGTATTGTGCTCATTTGTTACGTGGCAGAGCCTATTGTACTATGAGTCTTAATGGGACATCAGGTATGTGAATTTTTTGTAGCCCATAAAGTCTTGGTGATTTTGATGCCCTTGGTTTGATCAGGCATTGCTCTTTCTTCGGAACTGATGCATTGGCAATGATTGCCGTTGTTTTACGTTCCAAGGTGCTGGTTGGGTCTCGTTTAATTTTAAGGTAGGTACTTTCATCGAGTAAATATTTGATTTTATAATCATTGTGCTCACGGGGCATCACAACAGTCGATCGACCCTATCAGCAGCAAGAATTTGGATATCTTTATTTTCTCTCAATTCTTTTAAGGCTTTTACTTCACTGACGTTATATTTGGCAATTTGCTGTTCTCAATAATTTTGGCAACCTCGTGCCGAGTCATCTCAGCTTGATTATGAGGGAGATGTCTAACTGCTGATTCCACTTCAGCAATGATCTCATCGACAGGGATTGTACGGTTATCAACATGACTAACATTGAATTATCCAGCAATATGGTTGCATTCCTGTCTAAAGGTCTTAACTTTGCTGTTGCCCCATGTACAATCCCTGTAATGCAACTCTCTGAGTAATGCAACTCTCTGAGTTGCATTACGTTTCTAAGTTTGCTAAGTTTGATATATTTTTTCTCTCTATCACCTTGTTTCCTTTGTAAATTTTACCCCCACCCTCCTGCCCGTTACGGCAGTCCCTCCCCCTCCCCTCCCTCCCTCCCCCCCTCGGATTAGCCGAGGTATGCTAGCTCTGCGATCCTACATTTACTTGCAAATTCCATCCCTAGCCCCGTCCACTTACCCTTGGGTTGTACCCACCACAAACGTATATAACCTTTGGTTGCAGTAGTTCTCTCGCTACATTTCCTCCTGCCTCAGCAGTCTGCCTGCTGTATTGTTCCATCTGAAGACGATTGCTTGTGTTGTGATCGAAACGTTGTGATCTATTAGTTATTTTTCTATCTACGTGACTTTACTGAAAGAACCAAAGAGTACACATATATACATACCCACCCGTGGGTTAGGCCACCTTCAGGTACATACACGCATAGAGCCACACACCTAAAGCCACAGTTGCACCGGCGCCTCCGACTTAACAAATCGGGGTGTGGGGAATTTACTCCGGGGTGAGGTCGGGGGGTGTGGAGTGGTTGCCCAGCCGAGGTGTGGGGTCACGAGTTTGTGGCACACGCCAGTGCACTGGGAAAAAGAGGTGGAGTACCCCTCAGGGGGGCTACGCTCGGGGCGAGTGCGGCTCGGGGCTGCTCCTCCAGCTTCCGCCCCCACGCTTCGCTCTGGGACTCGGATTCGGATTCAGCCGAGCTGTCTGGGGCCAAGAAGCAGGTGGAGGGGTGGGGCTACCCCTTGGGCGAGTCACTGCCAGTCGGCCTCCGGCCACAAAGCTGGCCGCCCCTGCCCGCTCAGGGGAAGGGCTGTCCTCCCAGGGAGGAGAGGACACCGAGGGAGAGAGCGAGACTGGCCGATGGCGGTACCGTCGGGCTCGCGGCCCGGCCAGGCGCCATGGCAGAGAGTCGAGTGATCCGAGCGGTGATTCTCACGAAGATCACGCACGAGGGACTGCCTGAGGTGGGGGCCACCCTGGGCCGGCCCTCGCTGCACCAGCAAAGCCTCTGGTGGCGGCCCCCCCAGCCCCCCCCCGCAGCCACCCCCCGGCCCCCCCCCAGCCCCCCGCCGCCCCCCGCCGCCCCACCCTGCTCGCGTAGACCTCGAATCGCGTGACAGAGCATTGTTAATTATAATCAGTGCACGATTATCCGGCTTGTAACATTATCCCGCGGTCCCCGGGCCGATCCGGCGAAACCGCTCCAAAGGCTGTAACCAGTCCGGCGATCGGCACCGTGCGCCTGACAAAGTAGCTAGGCTTGATTTCAGTGTTAAATATTATATACAGTACATTATAAACTACATACAACTTAAATATTGAAAATACTGCACGTACATACATCACCCCATGCAGAGTCTTCGAGCTTAGATTGGTAAGTACGGTACATACAGTCAGTGTCATAACGTGTTTTTGTGCAACAAAAATTGGAAGCATTGATAAACACATAAATCCGACGAAATAGTGAATTTCCATGTAAAAATGTAATAAACACTGAAGTCACATGGAAAGAAAAAAAATCTGTTTTATTTTCACTTACCTCGAGTCCTGGCTCGCCAGAAGGGGCGATGTGCATACTGCGGAGGATCGCTCCGCCGAACAAAATAGTTCCGCGGTTCGATTCGTAAGTACGACCGAACGATTGCAAGTGACCATGGTTAAAAATTATAACGTGTTATGAAGGTTCATTTAAGTCCGACATTCGTATCTCGGGGACTGTCTGTAGAGCCCAGGAATGTGACCATCTCTCAGATGAAGAGGAGCAAGTTCAAGATGCCACACCTCAAGAAGTCGAATCTCTCCCTTCAAAGTGTGAACAGAAGGAAGCTCCTCAACCGGGAGCTTCCTTCATGGGCATCAAAGCAATTCAACCGACTGCTGGGATAAACTAGAAACTTTTTTTTATTTTACCAGGTAAGACGCACTGAGCTATATAACTCTTTTTCAGAAGTTACCTGGATATCACAAATTATAGCTCAAAGAAGCGGCTTATCGTGTGGGATAGCAGCAGTCAAATACTCTCAATGCGTGATGTTGATTCTAAATGTGAAGGGAAGAACCGGAGGACCAGGATAAAAATCCACGCAACAACGCTGACAACTTTCCTTAATAAGGAAAGGGTAATCTGACAGACCTGAACTCTAATATTACATTTGTAAAAACAGAAAATCCTGGAAATGTTTTCCTCTTCATGTTTACAGTGAACATCCTCAGTAGTTTTACAGTAGTTCACGATATTGATCCCCTGCAAGCAATCAACACGTACATGCATTCATAACCGTGTGTGTCTGGCAGGCAGCCGTGTTGAGCAATTTCAAAGGGATAACGATGATTACCTGAGGCGCACGGTAACCAAAGCGACCACAATGACCACAACGACCAGGATCACTGACACTGCGACGATCACGAGTATGTTATTGACCGAGGTCGGTGGTGGTTCTGTCCAGCTGGACAATGCGGTATTGCTTGAGGTTGCTGTGGGAAGAGCTGCAGTCCCCTCTGAGACAACACAAGCACACGCCCACAGAGACGATTTTTATTTTATTTTGCCAGATAAAGTCTACTGAGCTATGTAGCTCTCTTTTAGAAGTGGCCTGGCCACAAATGACAGCTCAACTGAGTGGCTTATCACGTGCAAATTACAGACGCATAGAGATCCATAGAGATACATAGCGTCCCATAGACTAAACTTAACTGTTTTTTTCATAGATAAAGTCCACTGAGCTATGTAGCTCTTTTTCAGAAGCGCCCTGACCACGAATGATGTGTTGGGGCAGTGATGGATATGCGTGCCAGTAACCCAGCACTGTGGAGGTGAGGGTTGGTGAATCACATCAAACATGTTTTCGAAATTCTATTCCCGTGGTCGTTGAGGAGGAACCGCAACTTGGCTGTGCCGGCAGAAGGTAGCGCATCAAATGCGGACTCCACCTGTTCTGTTTTGAACGAGAATGGAGCGTTTTTCCTCCTCATTGCATGCACACACGCGTGGGATTTCTCCAGGCACTCGTTTCCTCCCACATCTGAATACTAAATAATTGGCCTACAACACCTTCATATGTAGAGAGTCGCAGAGATCGGGCAATTGTTGGTAGCGCCGGCTCCTCATCGAGATTGAAAACTAATGTCTTTAGAAGCTTCACCTCTTCTCCACTGCCCATTCCTTTCCTCATCCCTCTCCCCGCCCCTCCGCTCTTTCTCGTCCCTACCTTCCGTGATCGCTAAGTGCCCCTCTATCGCTGCTGCCATTCATTCCTCAATCCTTCTAGTACGCCCCCTGTCAACTCCACTACTCTGTGTGAAGGTACTGTATAAATATACAATTGGATTAGATATTCGATTCAATTCACAATTAAACTAAGTGAATTAAGTATGTGTCTCTTTGGTTTTATACGAGCATTTGGATCTCTGTTGCTCTCTATGCGTCTCTTCCTTCTGGTATTAGGAAGCCACTGGAACTAAGCACTTTAAAATCATCAAGATTGACAAACTAATTTCAATTGAACTACTTGTTGTTGTGTTTAGTGTTGTTGTCCTTCCACCAAACCTGAGAGATTATTAGCATGTTTGGCTACGTATGGTGGTGCGAAAGAAGTTCAAAATATATACACGAGCTCATCCTGAAGGCCATGGCCACAGCACGGGGAGTCTCTGACGCTGCGTGGCGAGGGGAATGCAGAGCAGAGCTCCTGAGTGGCAGCTCCGTTTGGCTCTTTTAACTCGCCGATCATGTGATGAAAATCAGCAGCCCCACGTGCTTTGTCAAAGGCCACTGGTGTTCGTGGTGGCCGTGAGTGGAAGCCAGTGCATTAACCAGCGTGAAGTATGGCTAATCAGCCAGCAGAGGACATATCAAGTTCAACATCGTGTGGCTGCTGCTGCCTTCCCGCTCGAGTCTGTGGGTCTGACTTGCGCCTCCGAGTCGTATTTGGAAGGCAGATTATGACAAAGAGTGTACTTGTAATGATGTTCAACGTGTCTCTGTCCGGAATGGAAGTGATGCACCTGAGGTTCTGGTCTTGTAAACACACCACTCTTTTACCATTTAACAGTAAGCCTACATACACTATTTATTTGAACGGCATGCTTAAGCCCATAAAGTATAAACTTGTATGGAGATATATCAACAAAACATAAAAAGCGTGATGTAATTGTACCACCTGCATACTTTACCTGGTTAGCGATTATGTTTACAAAGCCAAGGTGAAAGAAACTAGTGTTTAAATCTATAATAAATCTCGACTTTGATCAATCAACAGGTCACGTGTGGCGGAATAAAATGTGGGGTAATTCATAACTATTCTGAAGACGTCTAATCGGCGTGGAAGAGTAGGCCAAATATACTTTCCAGTTGGGCTACCCAGAGTTTCCTCAAGCGCATACATGTACGTATGTCGAACTTCTTTCGCACCATAAGTAGCCAACTCTGCTAATTAATTGGAGGTGCGGACCATTTTGCAAGCAATGCCGTGAGCAAGATATAGCAGGGCTGTCCCTAGGGTACGACCAATCGTTTTAAATTCCATGTCCAACTTACCGGGGCGATTCGACACCCAAAGTTGCAGTGAGCATTGACCTTCGTCATACATGGGCAGCAGTAGCACATCGCACTTGTATGAGCCGGCATCCGACGTTTCGACGCTGGCCATTGTGATGGACGCCGTGCAGCTCTCAGTGCTGCCCTGCCACTCGGCCCTTGGGTTGTAGCGTCGAATCGAGCCGTCGTTCACCAGCACCTGAGGCAGCGCGAGAATTGGTGTTTGTCATGAGCATTGCACGGCCCTTATCCACTGCTGGATGTGGTGGCAGTGCCCACGGTTTAACTCGTCACACGTTACATGTGCCGATCGACCAACTGTGGTTAACTGTCAACCCAGGTTACCTGCATCGTAGTAAATAAATAACAAACATTTTTTGAAATGTAAACAATGTCAAGGTGGTTGCTCTTCGTCTCAATCGTTGCTTTTTGTGAGTGGCGTCACCAGGACCCGAGACCACATAGAGGAATACCACACCACTTGTCTCCTGATTTCGTATGTGGAGGGTTGATCAGTACATGTGTAAAGATATTTATATCTGTGTGGGTGTGTTCATGTCAATGTTATGGAGAGCGGTAATATCGCGGTTAGCGTGCTGCGCTACGAACCTGGTGACTCGAGTTTAATTCCCGCTCACGACCAACACAGGTGGTGATTATTTGAACCAGTCCTGGGCCTCCCCTAGGTCGACTCAGCCTCAAATAAGTACCTCGCGTGGTGTGCAAACATCACCACTCGGGAGACAAAGGCGGTCGGGAGTGGTGTGGCCACCCACCCCCTCGTGTACCGTTCTGCCCTTGATAGGTGCTACTCGCTGGCAGCACTTGCCCCAACAGTATGCTAAGTCTATACGGGGGATCTTTGTTTTTGTCATGTCAATGTTGGCGAGTGAGCCAGCATTCAGTGTCTCGTTGAGAATCTGAAATGTTGCTGGCGAGAAATTTAGGCAATCAGCAGTGTTGTAAATTCGTGCAAGTTTTAATCTCTGCTTTTAGGAAACGGTAAGGGAAAGAGTCTGACAATTGTGTACGTTTGAACTCAAATGGGAAACACAATTAAAAATATATATACCGTTCCACACTTGGAATGATCGGTAGGTAGCATGTCTATTGGCACTGTGACACTGCTATTGTTATTCTACAACTTCATGGAGACTTCTTACAACCCAGCTACTCGCTCTCTTCCTCTCCAACATTCACTGAATTCTTTGTATCTGCTTTTCAAGTAATTTAACTGCCGTTACTGCCTTTCAACTCCCTTAACTGTTTAACTGTTGTAACTGCCTTAACATATCGCAGCTGTAGCGAGATTCCATCTCCCTCGCCTGTTATGCAGGAGGTCATGGGTCCAATATTAACCCTGACGCCTGAAAATATGGAGTTTGCATGTGCTCCCCGAAGTCGCGTGGATTTTTCTATGGGTTCTCCGGTTTGTCCATCCTTTGTACGCGTGGCGATATCTTCATAACAAGGATTGTGTTTCACTTCATTTCAGAATTAGAATATTTATACTGAAAGAATCCGATGAGCTATGAAGCTTTTTTCATAATGCTAGGTAGACCGTGGGGGTGGAGGGGGGATTATTAAATATCCCAATGTAGCAACTGCCGCACCGGAATATTGAGTTGAACACGATAAGCCACTTCATTGAGCTCTCATTACATGTGGCGAGGTCGCTTCTGAAAAAGAGCTAATAGCTAAGTGGCCTTTACCTGGTAAAATTAAATAGTTTAGTTTAGACTTTGGGTCTCTATGCATCTCTATGCATCTGTAATTTCCACGTGATAAGCCACTTCGTTGAGCAAACACGACATGTGGCCAGCTCGTGTCTCAAAATTGGCTATATAGCTCCGTGTGTTTTACGTGGTGAAATCAAAGTTATAAAAGTTTTGTGTGATAAGCCTTGCTCCACCGCGCTATTCTGATTAACAATGTGGGTGAAGTTGATTGATCTCACCTTCTCACTCCGTGATCCAGAGTCTCTCGACCATTCTACCACGGTGTCTGTCACACCGACAGTGTTGCAAGTATACTGGCAGCTCAGGAATGCGGTCTCACCAGACTGGACGGCGACTTTGCTTGGGGTCTGGACAACTAATGCCTGTACACTCAGTAACACTTAATGCAGCATCAAAGACGCTCTCACACACAGACACGCACAGGAGCACAAACCACACACGCACACAATGAGCAACAGATTGAACTTACACCGTTTATACAACTGCAATAACGTAGACTAGCAGGAACTTGCTAAACGTCGGCGGTAAAATAGTTGGCGAATATCTACGTTGTATCATCACTCCCTCTCCTAGACCTCACCAATGTCGTGTGACGTCATAACCCGCCCCCTCTCACCATCACCGCGTCTAGTGACATCACCCCCTCTCCTCACCAGCGCACCTCAAACTAGCGTGACGTCATCACCCTTCTGCTCGAACTCACCAGTGTCGCGTGACATCATCACACCTCCCCTCTCCTCACTACCTCCTATGTCCCGTGAAATCACAACCCCCCCTCCTCACAGCCTTACCCCAACCTTGCGTGATGTCGGTACAGGGGGTCCCCGATATACGTTGTTTCATTATAAGTCGCAACTTTCTGGTCCCTAATCCCGACGAATATCAGGGACCCCTTGGACTCGTTTTCCCAACAGCCCAGTGTCTCCGAGGTCATCAGCCACTACTATATTGACCCCTCTCCCCCACCACCTCACCAGCATGGCCTACCCCCCTCTCCCCACTCGCCAAACTGTTTTTTCCCCCCTGGTTACAGACACAAGCAAACAAGCGTATTGTCACGTAGATAGCCGGGCATGGGATCGCATACAGAGTACACGGGAGACCGAGGATGTGCCGTGAAGGACGGGAGGTCCACAAAGCTTCGAATCTGGTGCAAGGCAGAGGGAGGTGGACAGGTCTCGTTCCATCTTATCTTGTTTTGGTTCTTAAATAAAAAACAAGTATCTATGACTTTGTGCGATGCATGTGTTTACATGTATATTCAATGTGTTATGTCATATACATGGGGCTTAGCCCATTGTGTGTGTCTGCAATTAATAATGGAATAGTAATTCTGTAATTATCTCACTTAAATACAGTACAAGCTCGGTTATCCGGCATACATGGGGAACGGAGGGTGCCGGTTAATCAAATGTGCCGGTTATCTGAGAGTAGTTATACTTAGGGTTCACCACATTTTCCAAATACATGAAAGAAGCTAAGCCTACATTGTAACTATAATGAAATAAATAATAATCTGTTTTACAAAGGTACTCACCAGTCAGTTATAGAACATTATAAGTGGATTGTGGAGAAGCAGATTGGAGTACAGTTTATAAAGTTACACTACAGGACAAGGACATCGCACAAGGACAGCACACGGACATCGAGTCTTCCGCTAGCACCGCCACCACTCAGCAGCGTCCTGAAGCTTCCACAAACAACCAATCTTTCGGAGCAGCTCACAGCAAGATGCCGGCGTGGCTCTTGGGATTTTTTTCCCGATACGTGAAGGAAGATTCTGTTATCACCGTCTATATGACAGATGCCGGTAAATGGAGCATTCCGGATTGATAAACTTAGGATAACAGGGCTTTAGAATTGTACCACCTGTGTCTCGGCACAAGTAACAGAAACATATAAAACTCACAAGGAAAAAAAACCCGAGAAAACTACAACACCCAAACGAACAATGTTGCACCTGAGACCAGTTTTCATGATCTGTAGATTTTCAAGAATGAATAAGCGCCGAACCCAGAAATGGAGGAAGCGAAAAAAAGATGCAGAATGACCGGTTTTTCAATAGCAGCCCAGCCTGATCGAGATGCTGGATGTAATTACCAGCGAAACGTCACGGTACTCAAGTTGTCAATGTTGTCGGTTTACTCTCCAACACACCGGTGGTATTGAACTAGCAACGAATTGGTACGTTTTTGTTTACGTGACATACCTTACTGATTGGCTGTTGTGTGGTGGTGGGTTCCCGACACATTTATACTTTTGCGATCTAACCCATAAATACCTTTATTATGAATAAGATTGGAAGCGAAAGCCTACGTGTCAAACCTAAACTTGCTTTGTTAATGTTACATACATTTTCTTTGAACTGATTGCCTTATACTAGAGACTGCCTCCTTTATAGCCTTGTCTCACCACCGGTATTAGACCACAGAACAACGCCAAAATGTGATCAGCACAAAGGCATTACAAATATCGAAACATTCACAGCTTTAGAAATGACATCAAATAAGACTATGAACCACCAAATTATATGCATGGTCTCAATAAAAAAAAGGACGAGATATTAATGAGTGCACTACAATCTTGCTTTGAACAATGACAGGCGAAAACAAATGTGGCTTACAACAAAATGAATAGAAGATTCTCTTCATGGCCATGCACCCGAACGTTCTTGTCAAACCAAGCCTGGTTTGAGTTGCCATTGGAGAGGCACGTGACTGTCACGTGCCTCTCCAATGGCAACTCACCACTCTTTGCTTTGGTCGGGAGTGGACTCGAGTTCAGTTCGCTGGCATTGTAGTTCTGAGCGTAAACCACTTTTCCAATGCTCGCCACGTTAAACCTGCAGACCTACAAACACACAAGAAGCTGTAAGTACAGGCAGGCCTCGACTTACGAACGCCAAGTTTATGAACCAGCATCATGTTGCTTTATTTTATGTTTAATTTACTATACAGCATTTATCACCCTATTACATGCAAAAGTGCAATAATTATTATTTTTTTCGTTTAGCCGTAATAACACATTCTATAACACTGACCAAATGAGCATTTAAATACAGTACATTGTGGTGTTCCTACTTACGAGCCTCGGGAACCTAACCCCGATCGTAAGTCGGGGACTGTCCTAGGAGCACAGCGTCATTTTTTTTACTTTGTGTGAACGATACGCACCGTATACTCGAACAACGAGTAATAAACTATTTGTTTAACTAGAATATCGGCGGTGTACGGCCACCTTATTCTCGCTCCTGCGGAGGCCTTCTCAGCGCTTCGTGCCTCGCCCGTCACCCCCACTGATGTCCTCTTCTCCCACCACCCCCAAATGTGTCCAGATACTAATGGGTGTGTAGGCATTCATGTTTACAAAACACATTTTGTTTTCGGGGCGGGGAGGTCAACTTTTTACCCTAAATCTGAGGTTGGGGAGGTCCACACTATAACTTTTTGATTCAGGCCTTCTTAAAGGCTCTTTTAATTTAGTTGACGGACAAACGGAACGCTGGCCTTTTATAATGGATAACCTAAAATAATGCAGATTACTGTTCGAGATTTGAATCTTGATGCAGCAAATCTGGCTGTGACGGTCCCACCTGATGACGGAGACTTGTGTTGCCTCCGAAACGTCGTGATTTATTATTATTTTTATTTATTTTATTACTTTTATTTTAAACTACGTGACTACAGATTACTGTTGTGTAAAATCATTGATGCAAATCGCTGAAACTCATCAATGGCTCTGCGTTAGTGAACGTGCGTAAACAGCTATTATCGGCTGCTGCTGCTACATGGCTACGTGTTGGCCAACAGAGACGCCACTGTTGTACTGTACTATGCAAGCTTCGTCTACGCTCCCCACGTTCACCGATTTCCACTGACCAGGGTGGATAAGTTTGGATTATTAACAACAACAAAAAACACATTTCATTCGCAGAGCCCAATGCGCCGCGTGTGTATGGAATGCAGGACATGAACAGAACCTGCAAAGTGAAACGGCCATAATAGCTGTACACGTACACATGCATGCAAAGATCAAAGATCACCCGCATAGTCTTAACAGACTGTTGGGGCAAGTGCTGTTAGCGAGTAGCAGCACCTATGAAGGCCGGCACTGTGGCACACGAGGGGGTGGGTGACCAGGACCATGCCCAGCCCACTTTGTCTCCCTAGTGGCGATGTTTGCGTGACACTGCGCCAAATACTCATTTGAGGCTGAGTCGACCTACGCCACACTGCAGGTCCCAACACTTCTTAGCTACAATTTGGAAATCCCTCCTCGTGCCGTCTCTTACCCCAAGTTCATATAACAATAAAAATGTAAATTTCGATGTAAAGCTTTCGTGACTGCAGGGATTCATCTTCTTGGTTCTTTCGGTAAAGTCACGAATAAGGGAAATAATAAAATAATAAAAATAAAACATAATAAAATACAATTCTCACGACGTTTCGGCCACAATGCAAGCAGCCGTCCTCAGGTGAAGAACAGGTCTGTCGGAATGACTTTATTATTTTATTATTTCCCTTCTACGTGACTTTACCGAAAGAACCAAGAAGAATAAAAATGTAACCTATCTATATAAGACCAAAATAAATGTCTTGTCTTTTATAACTTTTAAAGTGCTGTTTGTTGCTAGCGGCTTGGCGTTTTGGGCATTAGGGAAACGAAGCTCAGATCTCGTCATGAGTAACAAGACAACGATACAAAGACCCCCCGTCGTATCGCTTTAAAACGACTGTCGGGGCTGTTCGCGAGCGGCACGTATGAAAGCCGGCACGTCACACGAGAGGGTGGGTGGCCAGCACCACGCCCGACCGCCTTTGTCTCCCCATTGGCGATGTTTAAAACAACGCCAGTTACTCATTTGAGGCTGTCGACTAGGGGAGGCCCAAGACCGGTTACGATAATCGTTACCGGTGTAGGTTGTCAGAAGGAACTAAACTCGGTTCGAGCGCAGGGCACTAACAGCGGCACTACCGCTCCCCACATACACACACACAACACGGTCAACACACGAGAAAAAGTTCAACATAAAAACGAATAACGATGATTAAAAACTAAGCATCATTTTATCTTACCTTTCTTTCTCAGACATGGGAATTCCACCGGTACGTGGTAGGCGTGGCATGTCGGAGCTGTGCACATTCCGATTGGCTTACCGTGAAAACTGAGATTGAGGGAGCAGCCTATGACACCTCCACACGCACCTTGCCCGTGACCTCACTGTGACCTGTCCATGTACCACACAGGTATGCCACGATTTACAATATGGGACGCGTTCTGAAAAATAAAACTCGCGTCAAAGAACATGTCGTAAATGGAAAATGTATTTTCCCACTATTGTAATCCTAAATGTAGCCGGTGTTAGCTGCGATGAACCACACGTATAATTGTGCACTCTGCCGCTTGCTCCAGGTGCGCTTTATACTGGTAGAAACCTCCTGGTTACACCGGCCCACAGGGAATTATTGTGTCCGTCGTGCAGGGAGGGGCTGGGTGGGGAGGGAGGGGCTGGGTGGGGAGGGGCTGGGTGGGGAGGGGAGGGAGGGGCTGGGTGGGGAGGGGAGGGAGGGGCTGGGTGGGGAGGGGCTGGTCACCCCGTGGTGCCCTTATAAAACTCAACGTTTAACCTACTCACGCCGGCTTGTGCCCGCCCTCACAGTCGGGCATATTTGCAGAATACACCACGACGCCGTTGACCCTGGCCATTGACCGAGCAACCCAACGTTCCTACCAGCTCCCTCCGCAGGAATGTGTTTATTATTATAAGAGAAGGCAATTGTGATCGAGGATTGAACCCCGACCCACCACGTGCACAGCAGAGTGCGAGGCACTCCGCCCCCATCCCCAATGTAGATTTGGGCTGCCCTTCGCAGTGAGAGATTGAGCTGCAGTGTAACGTGGAGGGTGTCTGTTCCGCTATTGCAGCCGACCTGTCCCCTCCCCTCCTCGCGAGGATTCACGACGTTTGGAGGGGGGACAAGGCGGACCGGCTTCACTCGGTGCCGTGACTCGGGATTTTGTTTTGTTTGAAAGCCATTCTCACTGGGCTGCCGAGGGCTCGCGGCGCGTGCATTGGTGCGTGATTGAACACATGCACATTTTTTCTACGATTGTGTGTGTCCAATGGCAGATACCTGTGGCACATGTAGGGTTCGCAGATGTGCAACAGCCCGGCATCTGGGACTCAGGTTCTGTGGGTGGGTCTAAGGACACTGGCAAGGGCGTAGCGATGGCCTGTCAGTTTGGCAACTCACAGGGTGCCTGTGTGCTGGGCGACCCTGGCAATTTAATGGATGGCCACTATTAGATGTGTTAAGCATTTTGCCCGGTGTTTCCTCCTACTTCCTTGTTTTAAATTTGTTGTATAATTCTGTTGAATTACATTTTTACTTCATTTCCCGCATTTTTATTTTCAATATTTATTTCCCTGTCGCCTCACTCGTAGGATGGGTAATTTTGATGAGCCAACTAGGTTCGGCAGGCTCTGGAAGAAGAGTGACCAAATTATGTGGGGTGTATAAGGTACCACACTTGACTAAGGGGACACCAGGGGCTGTTCACCCTCGAGGTTCTCCGAACTCGTGAAGCGAGTAGCTATCAATCTGCAATTGATGGTGTGTATTTTGTGCAAAACTAGTTATTACTGGCCAATATTAATTAGATAATCTATCAAAATTGAGAGAGATACAAATATTTTTAACCGTTCGGACAGCTACAGTGCTGCTTGGAAGCGAATCATCAAATAATACATTGTTTAAATGCATGTGTAGTGATTTGTAGCATCACTACTGTGTCCACACGCACAAATGTGACGTCACTATATGGGGGAGCGTCACTACCACGCGGGTCTACACACACACATGACGTCATCCCAGCTGGAGGCGGAATGACGTCAGGGCCGGTTCTGGACTCGGGAGGCCACGGGGTGGTGTGAGGTCGTGGCACTCTCTGCGATCCCGGCTGGACACGTGACCAGATCCCAGTGGGGGCCGGGGGCCCAGGGGGCCCCTCGGGGGGCACGTGGACAGCAGGGGGCTTCGAGAGGGTTCTCGAAGAGCACAGAAGGGTGGTCACCACATCTACGCCTCTATATAAGGAACGAAACAGGTAGACTTCTCCACAAATCTGGCTGTCGCCTGATGAAGCTAGTTGTAATTACTGGTGAAACGTTGGACTCAGATTGTAAATGGTGTGGCTTGGCTCTCCAATACACCGGTGTGCTGTACCAGTGACGAATTGGCATGTTCTGTTTACGTGACAACCATTACTATTTGGCTGTGTCAGGTGGTGGCGGGTTTAACGACACATTTATATATTTATGCGATCTAACAAAAAAAACCCTCTATTATGGATTATATTGTCCTTGAAAGCCTACGTGTTAAACTTACTTGACTTATTTGATTACGCCATCTCTGCTGTTCTCTTTAATCGACATCTTATTTCGTCTGCACACTCTTCTGGATTCATCTAAATGAAATTTCAATTACGAAATGTGATATACTGAATGTAATTTACTCTTTCTGAGAGTAATTTATGACGAACCTGTAAATAAAAAGTACAATTATAAATCACCTTTATCGTAGCGTTATAATAGCGGTTTGAGTACCCTTTCTA